CCAGACATGAATGTGCTTTGGAGGTTTTGAACATAAAGTGACTACCAATTTCAAAGGACTCAGTGGATTAAATGTATGGAAACGATGGACAAAACAGAGATGCATGGCATTTCTGCATCAAGCACCGACCTAAGGTTGAAAATAAAAGAACACCGATCATTGCAGTGCCTCCAAAGTGTATTAACCGACAACATATTCCACACGACCAACCTCATTTCCAAAATGAATAACACCTCTTCCTCAAGTTTATGCCTAGATGAAAAACAGATTCTCATTCATGTTTGACAAAATTCGCACATCTTACATGTGGATGTAGATATATGGTTTGTTTCAGGTGAACTTTCATGATGTAAATATATTGTTATGCTTTGTTTTAGGAGAAATTGCATGATAGGTATGTGACTTCTTTTTGAAATTGGCTAAAACATTAAATTTTCATCCAGACATAAGTTGCAAGTGGTTTGATACCTATTGAAAGCGAGGTAGATGATGTATAATTGGACCTACTTAGATGAATGTAATCTGTAATTTTTCTAAACAAGGCAATAACAGGGTTAACACAAAATGGGAGTCCATGCCTTGTCAAAAGTGAAGCAGCGAAACCCATCCATATAATCTATATCCATCCATACGGCATCACAAGGAATCTTCTTTTCTCTGAATTTACTTGCGATCTGCAATAAATCGACAAAAATTAGAGCCAAAATACTATCATGCATTAACTCATGAATGAGATGCCAACAGCATAAAGTAAAAGTTGGACATTATTATTGAATCAGGTAGAAGGAAATGAGGGTTGAGGAGGAAAGATTGTAGAATCAAGCAAGATGCATCAGAATGGCCAACCTCTCTAACTATGTTATCAGAGTCATAGTTCCAGCGGCACTGATGATAGCCTAAGGACCACTTTGGTGGCATAAGCACAGTTCCTGACAATATATGCAAGCTATGTCGTTAACTCAAGCGATAAAAGTAATACACAGACTATCAAGAAGATTGTCCAGTCATTCCGGTGGTCCTGTAAAGTCCATTTAGTACTAAACTAGAAATCCACAGATGGATGTTTCTTGAGAAAAGAAAAGTCATGGAAAGGCAGAAATATTTATTTTGACCACTTCATTCATTAGCATGAAGCTTTTTCTTCATTTAAAGACAAGAAAAACAGAGCGTTCATGGTAACAAGAATTATGCATGATATCCTGATGAAATGAATACATTCAACTTTTCTGTGTCAGTAAATCTAACACCATATCATGTATACTCCTCAGGAAAACCACTTGAGTGAAGCCTATACTTGTAATAAAAAGCATATGGTGGAAAAAAGCACTAAACATGCCTCGAGTGTTTTGGCATCAAATGTCGAAATCAGGATCTCAAAGTTTAGAGAGCATCTGCAGAAAAGATTCTAAGAATTTTTAAATGTCACTTGTCCACAAAATGAAAAAGACCAGATAAAAGAAGTGGTAGAATTTGCGGTACAGGAAGCATAAAATCCTTGCATCTTAACTGACATGTCTGGTAAGCTAACAGAATGGACTTCTTCCATGTTCTTGGGTCGTGTTTTTTTACTTGTTTCCTTTGTCGTATGGTCCATTAGAGATTTTTTGCAAATTTGTTTTGAGGTCGGCTCATTCACTGACACATTTTTCAACATAGTAATTAGCATCTTAGAAAAGTTGCCAGGCATTGAAAATGATTGGGAGCGCAGAATTAAGTAGAATAGCACACTTATGGAAAGAAGCTGACGTGTGCAGCATAATTACCAGTTGCGTGAGACAAGGATGTTAAAACTGCGCCAGGTGAAGCAAATGGACCGAATGTAATGACAGGGTATGAGGATGGAGCTGTGAACTGTATTCTTGACTTGTTTCTCAGATCAATCTGTCCATGAGAAAATGTCACTTGCAAGCTTAAGACAAGTTCAAATTGGAGCTTCCAAGAAATTACTCCAATATGTGATCATAGGTATGAGTTTTACAACACCTCACAACGCCGTGTCGTGTCAGCAAGAATCCCCAGCGACTCTCCACTCGGAAGAACAGCTAGCACCCAAGGATGAGATTGGTACAAAGATGTAGTGCCAGGGCCAAAACCCCAAGCATCCGTGTTCCATGTAAACACCTGAAACAGGAGAGATCGCTGAGTAATCAAGGAGAGAAGAAAACAAATGCTAGCATGGAAAGTTGGGCAAATAGGGACTAACTCTTTTTCCCGTACGCTCAAGCTGTCCACTGACTTCACCAGTGCCGTAAAAACTGGTCCCATCAGGTAGCTAAGTCATATGTAACAAAATGTTATTAAGGACTCGACAAATACATACTCACTTGGAAAACATAAATCAAGCAAAAAAAGTTCCTAAAAATATTGAAAATGTCACCGTCCGGAGAGTGCAACAAACCAACCAACAAGTGATTGAACTGATACATGAGAAAGAAATAAGAGCATTCGGTGGCTGACCTCAAGTTTGACAATCTGCTGCTCTAGGAGACATTGGTAAGTAGGGATATAAGAAGGGACGTGATGACTCGTTATTGGCATGTCCCTATCCTTGCTGTTGACAAAAGAAAGACTAGGAAATGCCGCATCTCTATCGTTTGCAGAACAATCGAAGCGGAAAACTCCTTCCTCCAAAATAGGCTCGAAAATCATATCCCCTGTGGTAACATCCGCAGCTACCACCTGACCTTCTTGAGTACTCATTTTCGATTTCAATCTCGGCTCCTCACTGTTTGCCGTCCCGTCTCTGCACACCACAAATTCGCACCGGTATCACTCTGCTCTACACCTATCTGTCATTTTTCCGCACACCAGGGATACAAAAATGCTAAGCCCCATCGTAGAGTACTGATTAGTATAAGAACCAAAGATTGATAACCTCGTGTGCAAATCAGAGAAACATCGTGCGTGTTGTTACCTATGAAAAGATATAAAATTGGCAGGAAGGCTTTTGACACGCAGGGACTTCCACAACAGAGAAACATCGTGCACGTTTACCTATCCAAATCTGCCGCATTTTCACGACCAATTTGATATTCAAAAAAAAAAATTAATTGAAGCAGTTGGAAGGCAATACGGCAATACAGCAATCCAGCTTGTTGACTCGCACATGTACCACCTCTCTTCAACGGTCCAACCCCCCCTGCGGCTCCAATTATACACAGATTCATCTCGCCGGAACTCGAATTCCGAACACACGGTCGCGATCACGAGGAGATTTTCATATCGCTTGCCATCGAATTACTCGTTCAATCTCATCGCAACTTCGGATTAAGGGAAAAAAAAGAAGAAAAAAAGAAGGTATAGCTGCTCCGAAAAAGCAGTAACGGAGCATGCATGCATGCAATCCTCTCGACTTAGTCTCTCTTTCACGAGTCATACACCACAGACGAGCGCCACAAGCTCGATCACCACGACGACCTCCCAAAACTGCCCGAGAAAGATGAAACGACTCCAAACTTTTGTTCTTTTTCCTTCCAGCGATTGGACTCGCCGCGTCGAAGCCAAAAACCAGCCGCCGAAAGCACGCGCGATCGAAAACGACGAACCAAGAGAACGGACCTGAACGGAGACGACGACGACGCCGACGGCGACGACGCCGCAGCAGCAGCAGCAGCAGAGGAGAAGACGCGACCGGGAAGAGGAGGGAGAAGAGGCTTTAGGCCCGAGCGACGGAAGAAGGACGGCGGGGCTCTCGATGAAGGCACGTGAAGGCGGCGAGGAGGACGGCGACGACGGAGCGCGACCTCCGATGATGAACCTGCACGCGGTAGTGCGATGGTGATGCTGGCCCGTCTGAGCACTGGCAGGTCCACCATTTGTACACCACCGGGGGAACGAGTGTCGACAAAATACTCTTGTCAAAAACCATAATTAATTGACAAAAAAGAAATATATTTTATTAAAAAAAAATTTAGAGAAAATTGGGGGCGGGAGCGGGCCGCGTCTGTGAGTCACGCGCGCCTCGAGAGAGGAACGGTGGCGCCGCCGCCGCCGCCCATCTGTTTCCCCGGAGTTGCTTTGCCGATCGATCTTCATGCAGACTGAAATTGAAACACGAAGAGAGAAGCTTCCGTTTTCTCCTCCTTCTTTTTTTCTTTTTAATTAAAAAAAAAAAAATTTTGGTCTTCTTGAAGTGGTCCACTTGTCAATTTGATTTCTAATTGAAAGCGCCCCCCCACTTCTTCCTGTAGACGAGAGAGAATACAGATGTTCGATTCGATTCGAGACAACTGCCCCACCGATGCGAACGAGCCCGTTACCGTGGCCACACATGAATTGCAAGTTCAAGTAAAGCCAAATTGATATCAAGAGAGGGATTCCAGATCAACTTGACAGCACGGCCACGCCCGACAAAAGGTTGCTCTTTGTCGGCACGATATTCCTAAATCTCATTATTGGAGGATAAAGTATTCACGAAACAATCATATCACATCTCCGTATACCGGATGAATCTCGTGATCATTATTTTAGACGACAATCATGTATGATTGCAAGCATTGGTCGAACGTGCATGATATCGAATATCAAATCGAATTTAATTTAAACTAAGGCTTCTTTTGGAAGAAGCGTAAGTGGACAGATCAGCTTTCGGCCCCATCAGTTGTTCAGGATGCTGACACGGCCCGCGCCTGTGGACAATGGACTAAAGCTTAGTCAAGCCATATTCATACGCTTGAAGAGTGGCCGAATAGCCCCGTCACTTGATTTTTCTCGCGTTATCTTTCATTGACGCCGATTAATTCCCATGATCAATCAGATCACACAGGCTGTGTACGAGGGCAGCTGTGGCCGGCGGCAAATCGCAGACACAAGCAAGGCACTGAATAACGTCAAATCATTCCCGGTGCTACTGATTCGAGCAACCCCGTGAGCTGTCAATCCAAGGGAGAGGGCACAACAATCCGTCCGATAATGAGCCACCGTAGTCGAAGCATCATTTCTAATCAAAGCTCTTACCGCCCCGCCCCTACCTTAACAAAACCACTAAAAAGGGGGAGACCTAGTTGGGAATGTCGCCGTTTTTCTATCACAGCTATAGTGTGATTTTCCTTAGCAGCACAAAACACACTCTCTAGCAAAGTCACCGTTCGGTCTCTTAAATATGAAACCTTACAGAGTGTCAATTAAAGCTACTCGCCCCTTCCAACATGGGGTTGAGAAGTGGCTAAGGCAGTACATGACTACCGGGAAGCGGCACTAATTGGAAACAACAGGGACAACACAATCTCCGAGTCATCGAACCACAGTCCCCACTTAGTCAGGATAACAAGCGCGATATACTGGATCTTCGCAGTGAACAAACTCGATGCAAGTCCAGTACGAACACTGGATAAAATCGCGCCACAATGCTTGCAGAAGCAAATATTGTGTCTGCACGGTGGAGGAAGATGCAACAAACCTCTTTTTCTCCTCCAGTAAGAGACCCTGGGAAAGAGACAGAAACAAGGGAGGCGAGAACCTCTTCACTTTGATCGCCTGGAAGTAATCGGACAAGTTACAAAGCAGCCCTGCAGTCTCCCCATCCTTACGGCAACCTGGATGTCAGTAGCACTGATCAAAATCAGCCAAACATCCAACTTTTGATGAGATGGTTTTCCATCACAGAGCTATGCAAACAAATGAACTACCAAGAATTGTGGATGTCAAGATCCAAACACAGATGGTTCGATGAATATATAGGAAGTATCTGTATCAAATCTTGGGTGGTCATCTGCTGCTCCTCATAACATTTTAGCTGTTCAGCATATATTAGCCATATCCCTGCAATTCAAATGCATCATATACCCACCCCTGCAGAGCAATGGATCCAATTCTCCATGAGCAAATACGAGCCAAAACCCTGATAATTCGATATGAAGCGTAAGAAAAAAGTGGCCATGTACGCAGAAAGCCAATTATGCAGTGAGAGTCAAGTATTGTGGGGAAAAAATAAGATAGGCAGGTAAAATCTAGATACTGGACAGAATCTGTAATTCCTTCCCCTGTTTGGATGCATGATGGGGATAACTATGGGGAGGAAAATAAAATTGACCAACAGACTTGAGTAGCCTCTGTCTTTCTCTTGCTTGCCACTTTCACTACGGACATTCTTGTGGTTATAATTTTATGTATCAGCACAAAGCCAACTTCCATCCATTTTGCCTCTTACTTTGGAGAAACTTTTTCTTTGGGTCCAAAAGGAAGTAAATGAATTCCTCTTGCATTCCCTTCCCTTGTAGTTACCCAGATTATAGAATCACTGCGAGTAGGTTCTTTTGTTTTTTCCTTTCAATGTCTTCCATCCAAGATAAAAGTTAGAGCAAAACGCAAATACTTACAAGTGAGTAAGGAAGAAAAGGTGGGAACTAAAAATAAAGTTGAACCGTGTTAATATAATTATGTTTCAACTGTACTTAAAAAAAGACTATTGCATTTCGTGTGAACTAGGACGCTTATGGTTCGTGGGTCTCGTTTGGAGATACTTCAAACAAACAAAAAAAAACTAATTTCAGTAAGAAATTTCACCAAAATCAATCTAATAAGGTTAAAAGTCAAACCAAACCATGTAGTCGGTTCATCATTTGTGAGATACGGCTCTAAAGCAGTAACAGATAAGAAGCTAAGAAGTAAGTTGGAACTTTAATCGCTAACATCAAGCAAGAAAATTATTTTGATTCCAGAAACCATAAGGGAAAATGCAAGCTGCAAAGACATTGAACACCTATCAGCTATGACATTTTTCATTAGGTGAAAGAGGGATCATAGTCTTTTTGTTAATGACAAAATTATTTCCTCAACATATACTAGCAATTTGGTTAGGTTTATCAAGTTATCACTTAAGGGAACCCCAACAAATAAGTCTAACAGAAAACTTCTCCACAACCCAAGGCCAAATTATCAAATCAGCCTTATCAGATAAAAGTCATCAATTCCTAAAACTTTTACCACGACTACGGCTCATCAACCATACCAAAGAACTACATAAACCCAAAGCAATAAACTTATTGAATTGCCCATCTAGGAATGATTTGCCGGGAACCAAGCACAAAGACAAACTAATTGATTGGTTGATTGATTCAATCCAGAGACACTAATTGATTGATTGCACCAAAATCCCAAGCAAAGAGCAAAAATGATGAGCGATTCAGCATTGTCCGACTAAGTAAGCAGCTCCTCTCGACTCAACTCAAGATGAGATGTACCATTCGTCTACCTTTTGATGCAAATAAATAGTATCACGACCAAGATACTGGAATCTAAAATTTGCTATGTTATGAAACTTTACTGTTTTTGGGTTCATATAATTGTATGTTGACAATCATAAGGCTAGGGACAAGCTGTTACAAGTCAACCTGCACCATCTTCAGAAATCCACACTCGCCACTTCCACCATGCACAACATTTTGAAACCACTGTCACCGATCTTGATCCACTTTCAAAGGGAACATCCATACAGCTCTTTCCCAAACAACTTAAAATCAAAATCATTTAAAGCAAAATGCTTACAAAGAGGTTTTGAAGTATCATCCGAATAAGTTTCTGTTATGAGGTTGAGATCTAACTAGTCAAGCATGCAGTTTGTTGTTACTGCCATTACAGCTCACTATATCAACATTTTATTATTTAGTACATTTCGAGTGGAAAAAAAAAGTACCCAAACAAAGTTTTCTCCGTGCAACATCTTCTCTTTTGATCTCTGTGACTTCTATACCCTCTTCGTTTACTCTCATCGACTTAATTCAACTGTGCAATAAAATAGATAGACAAAGAGAGATAAGTTCCAAAACGAAACCTCAATATTCTTATTTGACAAGGGAATAGCTTCAGCTAGTAAAACTTACTTAATATCTCAACATGGACATACTATGAATCTAAAGGACAACTGAAAAGTTCACTTAACATCATCACCATCATCTCAAGCAACTGCCAACACTGAATGCATCAGACAAATATGACCTAAATTTTCCCAAACACTAGATAGGAGACATGTCAAACAGGAATGCCTACCATCTTTGAGACACTGTTGAGGCATCAGGCAAATCAATATCCAATTAAGCTTGGATCTCCAACGTACTCAGCAATTTGATCAAGCCGCACATTGAACAACTCCTGACTATCAGCATCACGGACTACACCAGTCTCTCGGTCAAAATCCCTGTCCACTAAACTCCCATGGACACCCTTATAACGACCAGACAGAACGAAAACCGGACCCCCACGCTTGGGTAATGCAGTCTCAAGATATTCCTGATCTACACCTTGAATAAGTTCCTTGCTCTCATCCATCAATATATCGCAAATCTTAGGTCCAACAACATCGACCACCCTTCCCTTTTTCAGATACAATCTCCCACCTTTCAAATCCTTGCTGGTCACTCTAACCCTTATGTGACTCATCAGCCACCCAACTTTACCACTGTCACCCCTCTTATCTCCACCATTTCGAACATCTCTCTTCCCTTCATCACCGCTCCTTTTACGACTACCCGAACTATCATTCTTAATTCGAAGCTCCTTCATCTTCCTCAGAAACTTTTCTTCCTCAGCAGAACCCAACTCAGTGACATCCTTGATCCTGACCTTGACTTCCTCTTCTCTCCTCGAGAGATTCAGGATCACCGACTCGCCGCCCACTACTTCCACGATTTTTCCCTTCAAACCATACAAGTCTTCTCTACTTCCCCCAACAATCCTCACCTCTTTACCCGCTCGAAACCTCCCACCACCTCCCCGACTATCCCTCCCGTTCGCCTTATCTTCCAGCACTGGCTTCTCGGGCTCAAACCCCAGCCCAAATCTCTCTCGACCCCTCTTCTCAATCTGCCTAATCGGAACATCCTCCTTGGCGTTCTTCCCCACCCCTTTCCCCTCCTGCCAACCATAACCCCTAAGATACGCCGCCGCAAATTCCTCCACCGGCATGTCCTCGTACCCCGGATCGTCCCCCAACGTCGCCAGCTCCTCCCTCAGTTTCAGTCCGGAATCATCTAGCCTACCCAATTTCCCGGGCGCTTCGGGCTTGTCCTCACCGTCCCCCGACAGCTCGCCGCCGTCCTCTCTCCGGCGGACGGTGAGGCCGTACGACACGGCGGCGGCGGCGTTGGCCTCCTCGTCGAGGGACCTGGACTGGGACTGGAACCGGGAGAGATCGGAGGAGGCGGCGGATGCGGCGGAGTCCGGGTCGAAAGGCAGGTCGAGGTTCTTCATCCGCTTGGCGGGACGCCACTCGTTGGGCTTCGGCGGGATGACCAGCAGGTTCCTGCGGGTCCCGTCCTCCGCCGGGGCGTCGGAGGAATCGAATAGGGTGATCTGCTCCCGCGCCGCCGACGGAGGCGGCGGGGCGGCATCGCCGCGGCCGTCGTCGGCGAAGGGGAAGGTGGCGGCTTCGGCGGCGGAGAGGGGCTTGGCGGCCGGCTTCGGGGGCTTCTTGGAGGCGTTGAAGGAGAGCTTCATGCCGACCGCCGATCGAAACCTAACCGAACAAAAGAGGGACAATTGACGAAGACCGGAACGATTGAGGAAGCAGACGAGAGAGAGAGAGAATTGCACCAACTTCAACGTTAATGGAGTGTTTTTTTTATAGGTACCTATATGTAATAGCCAATTAGCCATCAACACAGATATAATGACGTGGGAACGATTGAGCAAGCGGAATTTAGGAAGTCGCTCGTTTTGAGCATGCGAGAGAGACACAGACAGAGAGAGGAGGGCGGTGTTTGACTCCTTATGCTCGAATTAATGGAAGGACTACATTGAACATTTTCATATAGCCTTCGAAACTAAATTGAACATGCACCAAAATCCAAGAATGACATTGAACAAATTAAAAGTTCGAGACCAAATTGCACATTAAAATTAAAGTTCAAAGATTATATTGAACAAGTTAAAAGTTTAAGGACCACATTGCATATTAGGCCAACGTTCAATATTTGTTGTGTCATTTTCCCTAAAAATTGTACCAACTCAACAAGTTTTAGGATTTTATTGCGTTTTTTAAAAATTTTATTACTCGATCGCACTTTCGTGATGGGTTTTAAAACTTTCAACACACTCATCCCTTCTTTTTAATATCATCGAAGGGGATAATCGCCAAACCATTCTTTAGCTAATACCACCAAAAGTCCTAAACAAGTATATATGTGTCGAATTTATCTCGAACTAATTTTTTTAGGTTACCAAAAACTTCAAACCAATACCCAAAATTAATTTTTTAGGTCACCAAAGACCATAAACTGATATACTCATGACATATTTACCTCCGTTAACTTCTGTCAAATTTTCTATGAAATTGCTAAGTTAGATGATACATGCATTAACTCAATGGACATGGCAAGTACACGTGAAAATCCATATCAATTTTGGGGTAAAGTTGTCACGGATGTACCAGTTTAAAGTTTTTAATATCCCAAAAATTAGTTTGAATAAATTTGTCATATATACACCAATTAAGAATTTTTCGTGATATTGATCCTTTGATATTCCATCCTCAAATTTGAGCGATCAAGGCAATTGCTTCCCTATACCCTTTTTTTTTTAGAGTACAATCAATGTTTCTTACTCGATTTTTCCAACCTAAGTCCTCTTTTAATTATGATAATTAACTACGCTAATGGGCTTTTTTTTTAACGTACCTGTTTTTAATATCATTAACAGGAGGCGGACAAAACACCTTCAAAACTCTTTTCAACATCTTCAGACAGAAGGCCGCCGTTGCACGATCCTTCCAATTAGAAAAGGAACTTCAATGCGCTTTCGATGCGTGTCACGTTGGCTAAATTTTATCGGGGGCTCAAATGAGTGAGTCTTAAATGTGACCGTGCGAATGAAGCTTCTTTTCAGACTACGAATGTGCATTCGATCTGAGCACAATTGGAGAGAGGATTGCTCGACACAAATAGGTTCAGAAGAGGCTTAATGAAAGAGATTTCTAGGTAAACAAGCTTCGAGTATGTCGCTTTACACCAAAAGAAAACTAAGTTCTTCGAGCAGCTGCTGCTCATTTCCCATAACTCCGGAAGATCATGCGGTATCTTTACTGCCTGCACAATAAACCATATGGCCCCTTCTCGAAAACAATCATCGACCTTCGCAGTGTAAGTACGGTACTGGAGCGGGAAAGAAGAGAGGCTAGCAAGCAAGAACTCTTCGTCGCATCCTCGGCTAATGTTGACACTCCCTGAAACAGCCAGGGAGTCACAATTTGAGGCCCTAAACCTAAGCACTGCATTATTGGAGACCCAGCCACAAAAGTACAAGTAAGCTACTCATGAACAACTAAACCGATCCGCCAAAGGTGCATCCACCAAGAGGAGGAATACATATTGGATAGATCAAAATGCACCTGTTCGAGGCAACTACAAATAGGACCATAGCGTGCGAATCTACCTCGCATTATCTAGTTCCCATCCATTTGAGTAGTTTCACGGTACTTCGACAAAATGGTTCGAGAGATGCGAGATAATTATCATGCTTCGTCTTCACTTGTCTCTATAAGAACAAGAGGCTTTTTCGTCTTTGGTCTCTTCGATGGTCTATCATCAGTGCTTTGGCTTTTATGCGACGAATTCTTGTCAGGCTGATCAGAGCCTTCGTACTTCTCGACTTCTTCAAGAATTCTACTCCCATACTTCTTCGACTTGAGCTTCCCAATTATGCTCTCCAGCTGCCAGAATAATTAATGGGGTAGTAAGTCCTCGTCCAAGTGACAATGAATACCCAAAAAGAGATGCAGTGAAATTGTCTCCTTAGCTTAGGTAGTATGAAGATCACCAAACTCAACTGTACCACTTTGCACTAACTTAGCTAGGGGCCAGTCCATTTTTCAGGCAGGCTTCACAAAGCAAACTCTTTTCATCTTTTTGGTGGCATTAACCTTTTACACGATTAATGAATTACCAATATCACTGGATTCAGTAAATTAGTTGGAAACTAAAACTTCTCTGAGCTATTTAGCCTGAATAATGAAGAAGCTCTGAACTAATCATGTTTCTCCCCAATCGTACACTGGTCAAAAAACACCAATCTGATCGGACACAAACCATCAAGTTGACCTAGTTACTCTATCATTCGATTGTTCAGATTTGGATGCAGTCAGAAAAATGAGCTCGGTTGATATGATTAACACTTGACTTTCAAGATTTCCAAAATACATGTTCCAATGGCATTCCTCATCTTCAAGAAAACATAATCAGGTACGCTCTTCTTGACGAAGAAAGTAAGCATATTTATTCAACACTTTGAACCAGGAGATAACAATTCTCAATGCAAATAATTGTCAACACTTACCTCTTCTATTGAGCTGGGTTTTATGGCGCTAATCATACTTATCTGTTGAGTTGTCAAGACTGAATGTGGTAATATTCCCCCATGAATAGAAGAGAGTTCCTTTCGTAGCTCATCAAGTTTAAACTCTAAACCAGAGGTGGTGAGGCTGCGCTTAGTAGATTTGACATTGTCGTTCATTCTCTTCTGATTGCTTAAAACCTCAAGCTTAATCATCATCTTTCCTGTGTAAAAATAAGCACTGTAAGTGTTAGAATACATCCCATTCTCTCACAGAAGCTGTTGGGCCTACCACATAGGCAAATCATTTGCGACCTTAAACATTCTAAGATAGAGCATTTGTCAATGGTCGGTGTTAGAATACATACCTTGCAAAACTTGCTTTGTCAGTGGTCCAACTGTCACATAAGCATTTGTGGCATAAGCTGTATGCTGATATTCTTCTTTCTACATAATCAAAACAAGACGTAGAACTCACCAAGAGAGTTTGAACATGTTACTAGCAGGTGTATATATCAAGGAAGGTCTTCACAAGAAAAAAAAAGAACTCTAGAATGAGGAAATCACACAGGTGTAACATCTTATCTCAAGCAGTTCTCAGAAGATTAGAAAGATATTAAAATTCAGTTATGTCGTCACTTATGCGAAAATTAACCACATCAAAAGACCGTTATTTAGCAAGAGTGATTAAGAATTTCTCTAGCGTCCACCATGGACACAGATCCGAGTACTATTTCTTATCCCAGACAAACTGACAATAAAGCAGCAGAAAAGTCACAAAAATAAGTTAAAATGTCAGGACCAATATCAACTGTATCACAAGTTCTTACCAACACTCGATCCAATATCAACTGTATCACAAGTTGCTCTAATTGCTCCTTTTTAAGATCAGAACCTGGAGAAGATATACAGCAGAAAAGATAACATGAGGAAAAAATAAAGCCGGAAGAAGGTGCAAAAGGAAGCTACAGACTCCTAGAGTTGGCGTTATCAAGCAAGAAAAACGGATCATTCAAAATAAATGGATAGCATAACTCACATAATAGGAGATTTATCAGTATTGAAACAAAAGGAAACCCGATTTACAGAAACCCATCCGTTTGTAGCTGATTGCCAAGCTGTTTGATTGATACCAAATAACATCGTCTCTAGAAAAGACCCCAGGACGACTAAATTGCTTTCTCCCATGCAGATGTATGTTTAACTATATAACTAAAGATTTAACCCAATCTTTCAAGTATCTTTGCACATATCTTATATCATTTATTACTTCGACATGAGTATCCTTGCTGCAATCCATATAAGACTGCTACAAATTTAGAGACAATTCAGTACAAATAACATAGCCATACTAAGCAGTTGATTTACCGTCGGAATATCATGTTAAACTAGAGGATGAAGCCATCAAGCTTAAGGGCCAAAGAACTACATTTTAGGTTTTTATATCACCAAATCGATATTCACAAAAGAAGTACTCAAATCGCTAGAGAATTTCACAAACAAACCCAACAAGTATGCGTTCATTTTAATGTTACATGCATTTATTATATAATATTGATATTCACCTAACTCCTTTTGCATTGTCTTTATTTTATCAACCAGCTGCAACATGGTCAATCTCTGATCCTTCTCCTGTACATCTCGAAGCAAAGAAATAACAAGCTTTGCATGACCTGCAGACAAGACCACCAGTTAACATGCTAGAAGGCAGCTTTAAAAGAATGCCATCAAAAGCAAAAAAGGTAGTAGGAAGCTTGATGCAAAAAAAAATGAAAAAACATGTCATTCTTGAAAAAACAAAAAGACATCACAGCAGCGGGAAAATTTTGTAGAGGATTTATTCTCGTGCAATTTACAGATATTTAACCCTTTGCACTTCCATTTCTAAGTCTGTCCACTCCATTTATCTGGATGCAATCTATTATGAGTGAGGCCCAAGTTCCACACCACATTGGTTTAACATTAACAAATTTGACTGTAAGGTTTAACGATCAAAAAGGGGAAATTCACATCTCTAAAATGAACTCACATATAAGGAACATATATGGTCATAGAAAGGAAAAGAAAAACCATAGAGAAAAAAGATAAGATCCAATACCTGAATCTTTATCAATTTTTTGTTAAAAGCTAAATGCATATATAATGAATAATGAAAGTCCAAGGTAATGTACCAGATACATCCACCTCTTTGATCTCATTAGAGAAGGCACAGTTATCGCACATTCCTGTGGCAGTGAAATCATGATTTAGTCATTAAACAATTTTAGGACATTGAACTAAAACAATGCCGGTTATACAGAGAAAATCAACTAAAATCAATTTACTGAGTGAAGTGACAAACTGTACTAGAAGTCAAACAAGCAAGACCGCTACAGGAGATAATTTGCTTGTGCAAACATATGATTTTGTCATCTCACCCAGTAAACAGTCTTACTAGAAATTTGTAGCATCTCTAGCATTATCTATTGAACTAACTATCATAATAAACAGATATACCATTGCAGTCTTGCACTGCTTCAGCAAAATGCCTGAAAAAAGCACTTCGTCGACATTGTCTTTTACTCTGTAACACCAGAAACAACTTAGAAAGAGATTAAATTCACAAATTTGATGATCTCTAAGGCTATTATAGAAATAAAAGTTTACTTTTCTATTCAGCTACAACTATTCAGGTGGAAGATTTTATTCTCCTTGACATCCACAATGTCATAAATAATCGTAATTAAGATGGACAGAGCAGAAAAAATGTCAGAGTTTTTAGTCTGCCCGTGGACAACATGAAGCAACTAATCAGTAAGGACGAAAATGAAAAAATCCTAGGAAGAATGAGTAGGAAATTTGAAATTTATTTATATGTTACCACATCCATCACCAGAATGTGCAAATGCAACGGGAACTTATCCATTTACTTATGTTAATACACTCGGAAAAGTGTTGGGTGAGGTATGATTCCAATGTCTGCTTTGGCGATTTATAAAAATTAAGGACATGGGACCATGACAAAGTGTCCGAACTTTGCACCATGAGTTTGGGGACACTTTCACATAGTAAGGATTGGAGCATAACATTTGAATATCATTACCGATATTTGCCATGCAGTATTTCCAATTGTAGTAAGAGGAGGAATAATCCAGCATATGGGATATCGACCTCCATAATCCTATGGGCACATACTCTTAGCATTATAAGTTTGTCACGCTCAAATTGATTTTTTTACCAAAATTACCAAAACCAGCAATTTGGTTCCCTTATGCACAAGAACATTCTATTTAAATTACATGTATTTATTTTATACCGCATGGCTGTACAAGGCACCCTAGCTTTAAAATTGAAAACTGCTAAGATCATCAGCCTATCCAGCACTAGGAGGGGAAAAAAGGACAATACCTGACAGTACCGCACTATGTCATACAGGTTTTGCAACCCGGAGTTCTCATAGAAGACCATCGAACTCTGTCCAAGAAAGACCAACATCTCATGGATGAACAGTGCACTAGAATATGAAAATAAGTAACTAAAAGAAAAATTATACCTGCCTAGGAACATCTGCAGCCCTATAATATAGTAAACATTCTGAAGGAAGTCCATCTCTTCCAGCCCGCCCACTTTCCTGAAGTAAAGGGTGTTACAGAAAGAATTTTATCTAAAGCAGTTCAGAAGGTAAAGGTTGAAAACCTGGTAGTATGTTTCCATTGATTTACTCAGACTGTGATGGATGACAAACCTGACTACGAGAAATAATGATATTAAGTACAAAACCAGGTGGAAATAGCATTAACACTTGAAGTCAGATTAAAAAGAGAAGTGCTTGGACAGATATATGCATAAACCGAGAAATTAAATATTTTGGCTGCTAAGGGTTCCACAAACAAGGCCACATACATGAGAGCCTATGCTAAAAATCTCTTAAAGAAATGATGGCAACTTCCAAAACCTCCACACAAGCACACGAGAGCATGCACACAGGAGACGGACGTGGCACTTCAGTACAGATACTTGATCTATAATACATTCAAGGGTTGAGATTATTTCATCTTCACAAATTCAGATGTGACACAAGGCATTCAACCTTGAATGTCCATTCATGCACAGAACATTAGTTTCAGCAGAAGATCTCTTCAATGTGTTTCATTTAGCAAGAAGCTAAGTTTAGTTAATCCAGGGAACAATAAAAGGTGATGACAAAGGGTTTTACTTCACCCGAAAAGGAAAAAAAAAATCTATTAGCCTTCCCATGATTCCATCAACATCAGCTGCTCTATTAGATGAATTACATAGCAACCTATATTAGCCAAAAGAACTCTAAAATGAGGTAAATCTGGCAGATAACATTGTCAAAGAGTATGCTTAGTAAAAAATTTCTAATGCTCAGAAATGGAGCTATAAATGTAAAGACTGCTTCAGATTAATAAGCATGACCAGCTAATTCCTATTCAAAGAGTAAAAGACCTTTGAGAAAGAAATCAGTGCATATAAATAGCATTTTGCAATACTAACCATCAGGTTTGTTGATTCCCATTCCAAATGCCACCTACAACCATGAGAAAAAAGTATGGTAAAGTGAATTAGATAAAAGGATATAATTGATCTGCATATACATACCGTCCCTACAATTACTTGCAGCTTGCTATTGCTCCACCTGTAACGGACAAACATTAAAGGGTCAAGCACATCTATGCCAAAAAAAAAATGTCCCGAGTGGGTAAATGGACCTTTAGCTAACTATCTATCTCCATGGCAGGGGAAGGGAGATTGAAGAATCGTAGAGAGCTGTGTGCGCCTGTTTGTCTCTGTGTGCTCCATCATTTCTTTCTTAACTATGTTTAAGCATTTTCAATCTACTCTCAGTAGTATGATTAAAGATGCAAACCACAACTTTGGAGGTTGAACACATTGTCAAAAATATCACGCTAGTTCAGCTACAGTCAAAAGACTGCTCTACTTCAGGGTAATGTTCTTCTAGCAGCAGATAAAGCTCATATAAAACTTGGAGACCCTCAGTTTGATTAAGATAATGAAATAGCACAGTTGGACAGAACGAGACTGATTTATCACAAAAACATAAACCAGCCATCCTCATTGATAATGCGCTGGTGATAATGCTGTTAGCCTCTGTCGGTCAAATCTAGGTAGAATTGCACCAGAATCTTGCAAGTGAACAGCCATAGACAGACAGATAGATAGACAGGAGAGTCGTGGAACTTATTGACTTCCAAAGTGAGCATGCAAAAGCCATGTCACCTCAGATGAACTTTCTCGCGAGCAGTTACATCCATATCTGCATGATAATGATCCGCTGAAATTCCTCTATCTCGTAACTCCTTTGCAACCTGTTCTACACCATACATGTCAGAAGTGAGTATTTAATACTAGTTACAAAGAAAGTACAGATACGTAAGCATAGAAAAGTAATTCAGTGACTTCACCAATTGTTGTAATAAGAACCAAAAAAAAGTGATTCTAAAAACAAATGGTATGTGGCAACCTCAACAGAAAACGACATCGCCCTTTTTGCTAAATCAACACAAAGACCTATTTATTACTATGAAGCCGCCAATCCTAACAACTTTAGAAAATTTCCCAGTCTTTGTTATGTTGGGTGCACCATATTACACTATAGATTTATTTGATCCATTCTGTCAATTCTGCGACATTATTGTCCATGTTATCAATTTCACTTGTGAACCAAAAATTTGAGCCTAAACGTGAGGGGAAATGAAGAAATGCCCCACATAAATTCTTGACCTTCTTTTTCTAATCAACTGTTACAAGGAGATATAGTCTAACAAGTAACAAAGTAATGTTTTTCTTGAATTAGTCATGCAAATTAGTTAGTGAATTTATAATACTGAACCGCCAATAACTAGAAAAACATAAACAGAGCACATAATGGCGAAAGAAATAGAATTGATGAAAGGACATTGAGTTCGATGATCTAAAACACCAGCATGAGACAATAAAATTAATCTCAGTTTGCAGCCCCGCTTGCAAGTGAATTGGAAGAATGTTATCCAGTGAAAAACAGTAAACAATACACCTCCAGAAAAAGAGTGAAAAAAGGAGTTGAAGGATGGACTTAACCTGTTCACATTCCTTCCTAGAGAAGCAATAAACTATTCCAGATTCATTATTGGGATAAGATTCTCGTATAAATTCAGCAATTTCATCATTAACCACTTTAGCAACTGATGACTTCTCTCGTACCTGCAGCGCGTCCATAATAAATGTTGGCTCTTTAGTATGTAGCGTTATATTAAAGATTCAATAAATCAATCAATGACATACCATATAAAAGAGATTTGGCCTGTTAACAGTGCTGACAAACTTAACACACTTGGGGATCTGCAGCATTTCCATCAGATCATTTTGCACTTTCCATGTAGCAGTTGCCTGCAAAAATAAGACAACCAATCTTTCATGAGATCGCAAATTCTTTAAATTAGTACATTTAACTATAAAAGTAGCCATGTCATCCAAAAATCAATAGAAAGAAGAAATGAGAAGACATACAGTCAAAGCAACCACAGGAACGTTGGGAAACTGAGTCTTCAAGATACCAAGGTTTTTGTAGTCGGGCCGAAAGTCGTGACCCCATTGACTACAGCAGTGTGCCTCCTGCAGTTTACAGACAAGCAAGGACTTAGTATAACCAACTATATGACCATATTCGACCTTAGCAAGAAGGCCATTGACATCAAGATTCAATTAGTTGAAGTGGCATTTATTAGACTCTGCAAAAGCATGCTTAATCTAATGGTCCATAGGTTATGATAACGAAAGACAAGTGCCTAAAAGGCAATGTCAATGTGCATGATCAATGTCACCAAAGGGAAGAAAATATAATGACATTTCCTTCTACTTCCTCCTCTTGTGTCGCCCTCTGTAGATGAGCAAAGTGACATCTTGACAAATCTATGATGTTGTTTTTTTTGCAGTGACAAGTCTAAGATGTTGACCGACTATAAGTTCACTAAAATTACAATCTTTCTAAGTTTCTCTACTTAACCAATTATCCTGAGTAAGCAGTTGTCAAGACTAAACCTACTTTAAAGACGATCAACGGAGACGTAGCAGCTGAAGAAAACAAAATCAAAGTTGGACAGTGCTATCCAGTAACTTCTGCGACTAATCACACACCTTCTAAAAGCTCATTGTATCCAAACTACAATCATCGTACTTCATGTTTCCAGCTTTTAACATAAGGTACACGTAAACTGGATCAAACGTCATTGATAATTTTACCTTCATAGTGAAGTCCTCGATTTGAATCCTAGGTGCTGCTCCATGAACAATGTAATACCAAAACTAGCAAGCTGATTCTTCTAGGTTGGTCAAAACCAGTTTAAATGCTAAAGGACAAGCCTTAGGTGCAGTGTCAACTTAAGGCAGCCCCACTAGCAACCTAACTCGGATCAACAAAATTGGTCAAACTACATTTCGTAAGCTTGTTATCACTTGAAGCAGTCTAACTGGCCCACCATCCTTGGTTTAAGACATTATGATAGTATTGTCTATCTATCGTTATGAAGTAGCATAACTTTCAAGTTCGAAGTGGTAAGTCATATCACCTTGCTACATACACAGAAACATAGGCTGCTAAAACCAAAATAGCTCAGAGATCACTGAAGACCAAAACCAGAAAGAAAATTCAGATATTCACATCAATTGCTATCAAAGAAAGACGCCCCGCATGGTGGCATTTCTCCAGCTTTGACATGAACCTTTTGCTCTTGGATATCTTTTCTGGAGTAACATATAGTATCTTCAGCTCTCCTTCACCCTTTTCAAGCGCCTTGTATATAAACTTTTCATTGTCCTTGCCAGTAGTTGATGTCAACATATGTGCCGGAATGCCCAATGCAGCCAGACCCATCACCTAAGCAATGGTAATTTTGCATAAGTCTATGTCACTAATGAACTTCACAAAGTATAACATATTCACAAGGGAACAGAAAATAGGAAAAAACCTGATCCTGAATCAAAGAAAGCAATGGACTGACAACAAGGGCAACTCCTTCCTGAAGAATGGCAGGAAGCTGGTAGCAGAGGCTTTTGCCACCACCAGCAGCCATGATGACCAGGACATCTCTTCGACTCATAATGGCATTTATGATCTGGAAACAAGGAACTGGTAATTCTCGGGAACACGTTGGGTTAAGGCAACAAATGGAAATTGTAACAGTAACACATGCCCATTACAAATACATTGCGCAGGCAGATATTTGTATGAAAGTAATGACAAGAGCCACAGTTGACCGATTTAGAAGAAAACATGACAATGAGTCTGACTTTCAGCAGACTGAGTCAGAACAGTAGTGTATGAAACTTCAGATTCATTGCATTCACTCTGAAGAAAAAATTATACGGATAAATACATTCAGCAATTACTATGATATGATTGTAAAAACTCACATTAACAAAGGGAACGGATCTATATGATTTCAAATTGGGAGGCAAATCACAGGGTGATCATTAATGTAGATTAACCAAAGTATACAGAGCAAAAAATCAATTGGAAAGATCCCAAAATTAGGCAAGAACTTCAGCTCCTACTATTAACCTCCAGCATAACAACTCAAACAGTAACACGGATATTTCCAGCGCTGACCTCCCGCTGATTCGCTCGATACTTGCGTATCCCAAAAATGTTGAACTTGACGTCGTCGGCTCGAGCATCCCAGTCAAACACGCCCGACCAATCTTCCGCCGACGTCGACGCGCCATCCTTCACAGGGCTCCCGACATCCTCGCACGCTTCCAATAACGACTTCAGCTCAGACTGCCGCTCATACAGCTTCTCTTGCCGATCGAGCAAAACCTTTATCTGGTCTGCATTGCAGTCCGCAAAGAATCAAAACAAACAGCAACGCCAAAAACGCGGCCAAGCTAAACGGACGAACAAATGCACAAAGCCTCGATTTTTACAGGACCCATTTGATTTTTTCATGAACCCAAATTCTCAGCATAAGCAGAACGATTCAGTTTTGTTCGCAAATGATCACAGTGCTCCTCAAGCCGTTCCTGATTGAAAATCAGAAGCTTCACTCCTGACATCAATTGCAGTCGTCGCGTAGCAAGGAACAGCTAATGGCGACCATCATAGAGAGAGCGAGAGAGAGAGACCTTGGACGTCTTGAAGCTCGACCTCCACGCTCAGCAGCTCCTGCAACACATCGCCGACTTCCATCTCCTCCCCAAACCAGCGGCACGACCGCGGCTCCGATTCCTCCTCCGACGCCGAGATTCTCCCCTCCGAACGGATCGCGAATCCCTAGGAAGACGTCGATGCCGAATCGGCGCGGCGGCGGCGGCGATACGCTCCCTCCCTCCTTTCTTCCCGCCGGAGGAAGCAAAGAGCGCTCTCTCCGCTTCTCACCTCCGCGTCGTCGGGCGCAACTGTTGGGCCTAAATGGGCCTTCCCTCTCCTGAAAGCGTACGATGATGGAGTCTACGGCCCATTAAAGGGCCCAAAACGAAAAGGCCCATGAACAACTTTCGCTGCAAAATTGGGCCCACGCATTTGCGTGAGAAAGAAAATACAACAGCTTATAATTTGACATATTTAGTTATTTTCTTTAGGCTTTTTTATTTTGGGAAAAAAGCCACCAAAAATCTCAAATTATGCCCACTGTGATACATTTTTCTTAAACATTTTATTTCGACATCAAAAATCCCGAATTATACCCATTCTAACACATTAATCCTAAACTTTTTTCTTGTAACATAAAAAATCTCAAACTTGTACTTACATGACATATTTATCTTCCGTTAAGGTTTTGTCGGATGATTTTTCAACTTAATTAACATTTATCTTCCGGCTTTCATGTAAACAGATTTTTAACGATGCTCATTGACGAATTTTTTACGAATGGTAAATGTGTCACACGGGTACAAGTTTGGGACTTTTTGAGTCACGGAAAAAAGTTTAGGGTAAATGCATCACATTGGGCACAATTTTGGATTTTTTGTGGCTTTTTGCGAAGCCATGAATTATGAATAGAATCCGATTCACTTAGTATTAGAAATTTAAGTATCGAGATGCTTCCAATGTTGACTTGAGTTCAATGGGACATTTTCAATATCTCACCTACCAAAACCAAAATTTTGAGACTTTTTGTTGTTCTTTGTTATAACGGGCGCATGAATGGTGGTGATTAATCTGTCTAGGCCAACCCGGTGACCCGACCCAATTTTTGGGGTCTGGATTCGATTGGATGGGATTTTTTTTTTTTTTTTTTCAGGTTGGGATAAAAATTTGTCCATATCCTATTAACTTCCAATGAGATCATGTCGGTTGTCGAGGTCAATTTCATTTTTTACTAATTAGGTTTAAAAAATTGTTAAGAAGTCACAAATCAAAACTACTAATAAGTTCATTAGTCAAAGTCAACCGCGCAATTGACTATAAATATATCAAGGCAAAACGAGTAGAGTCTTGAGATTTGCATCACTTTACTTTTGCAACCATCAAGTAATCAAATGAAAAGTTTGGAATCCCTGATGCACTAAATTACTTTGCTTAAATGTGTAATCAACGCTTCGAAAGTCGGATATTTTCTTATCGAACAAATTTAACTAATGTTCCAAGAGCGCCCGACAAATGTGAACTTTTCAGTGTTCGGCACCAAAGTATTGGATATTCTCTATCGGTTTGCCTATTAAAAATACATATAGATGACGCATATACGAGTTTGCCCATCAACTCTTAGGGTAGGCTCAGTTGGCTGGGACGCCGACAGATTTTTTTACCTCGGAAACCAGAAGCCAGATCCCACCAACCGCATGCAGATTGCCCCTTTCATAACCCGCCCCCCGGATGAGGTCGCCATATCCATAAGAAACCGGGGCAGTTTTATCTTCATCCATTGCATCAGCAAAAGGTTTGATGCCGAAAAATAGCACGCTCCTCTAGTCTCGGTGAGCCAACTGACATGAAGACATGGATGAAGCTAGTCTTAGGGCCCGTTTGGTTCAACTTTGCAAATAAGCTTTGGGGGAATGCAAATACCTTTAGGTTAAAGCCCCTCAAGGAAATGCATTTGGTAAAAAATTCTTTGTGAAGCTACTTTGGCCCAAGTAGTGTTTTACTATTTTTTTTTCAAAGGGCTTTGGGACCTTTTTTATTTAAAAAAAAAAAAAAGTTACCCTTCGCCGGAGCCGACAAAGGGCTACGGCCGCCAACGAGCCAGATCTGGCACCGGCAGCCGCCCGGGGTCGCGCAACCCAGGCTGATGGTGCCTGGACGGTCGCGAGACCCCAGGCGACCGTCACCTGCCCTTCGCCGGCTAGATCCGGTGTCGTCAGCCGCCCTCGCCGGCCGCCCTTTCGCGAAGAAGATGAACAGTAATAACAAGGTCAAAACCGGAATATTAAAGAATAAGTTAGGGTAATTTAGGAAGAAAAAAAATTAGTTTCAATATTTGCCAAATGCTAAAAGCTCAAAGCTGGTCTGGATCAGCTTTGAGCTTTCAACATTCTCAATGTTAGCTTTTGGCCGAAAGTCCATTGGGAATACTTTTCAAACGCCCTTGCATTTTTCCAAGAGATTTTCAGCCTCAAAAATTCTTTGCGAAAGCTGAATCAAACGGCCTTACTTCCTCCCATCGCTCACACGCACTCGCTCTCTCTCTCTCTCTTTATAAATGAAGAACCGTCCATTGAGTCATGACCGCTCGCCCACGTGAAAGTTAGGCGAGGCCCCAAAACGACTGGCGAGCGCCAGACATATACAGAGACAGAGACAGACACTGAGGGAGAGATACATTGAATTCAAGACAGGAGCTCGTTTTGGCTCCTGGGAAGAGGGAGAAGATAAAGGGGTCCGTGCGTGAACAAGGGGCCATTCAAACTTTGTGGCGGAGGTTGGAGATTGGAGAGAGAGAGAGAGAGAGGGAATAGGAAAAGGGGAATGGCATTGAATGCGTAAAGCTGGTGCACGGTCTCCCACTCTCCAACTTGCTGCCTGCTCATGGGCAGCCTTTTTTCTGTCTCCCAGCAACTACTTGTTCTTTTCTTGAATGTTGGAGAGACTTCTCTCTATTTCATTCTGGTTTTAGTATTCATAATAACAGGGCCCTCTTCTTCTTCTTCTTTTTCTTTTTTGGCTGGTTTTTCGAGCTCTCTAGATACCGTTGGAGCCAGCCGCGGGAATTGTAAGTAAATGCGCATATGTAATGATTCTAACTCGAGCCTCGGGTGAGTAAAAAGGGTTTCACCACGATGTTTGTGGAGTTATGATTACGAAGTGTTAACTAGAACTAAGCAATCGAACCGGAACCTAGGGATAGGGGCCGAGATTGGTTCATAAGGGTACCGATGTAATTTCGGGTTCCAAAAACTAAGAACCAACTGGTTTTACCTGGGAACCTAGGATAGAACCTTGAACTAAACGATTGCAAATCGGTTTACCTTTAACCCTAAGCAAGGTCTTTTTGCTTTTTTCATAAATTGAATATATTCGACGTATTATTTTCAAGTAGAAGGAATTGTATTCATATTTAACATAATACATAATATCACGAAACAAAAGAATGAAAAAAAAAAAAACCTACTAGTCTAAGGTCAACAGGGTCTGTTTCAGATTCCAAAAATTGGAAATCGTCAATGACAGGGTATTGGGTTCTAGGTCTAAAACTTACCTACTCTGAAACCGATCATCCTTAGTATCAACTTGATAAAAAAGTGATTTGTGTGTTTAATTTTTTTCGTAATGCCATGGCACTATTGCTCTTTAATCCCATAATTTCTTTTTATTTTCACTTACAATTGAGAAAAAGAGATATATTGAAAAGAAAAAAACCAAGTAGTGGATTAATGCCATTGCAACTTGCAAGCCCAATAGTAATGTATACATGGATAACCAACTATGTATCACGTGATCTATGATAAAATCATTTATCAATTTCCTTTTCGTTTCTCTAAGAACTTTTTGAACATCTCACTTTCCACTTTTTTCAATAACAAACAAAAGCGGAAACATGGGGTTCATGGATATCACATCAGGCGCAATAAAAGAAAGCATTCAAAGCCAGAACTTCAAGGAAATGCCTTTTTTCCCATATAAAGTGATCTATGGCCTAAGTAATTTATTACTAATAGAAAGCATCATATACAAATAAAACCTCAAAGGATAAAAAATGGTGATACCCTGGCTCTAGCTAATTTATTACATGAATTGATGCACCGGTCATCCTACGATATCTCGCATATGAGGAGAGAGACGCAAGCAATGGCCTCACCTTAGTCATGCTGCCTAGGCGAGTTCATGACCATTATCTTTAGGGGTGTGATTGAGTCGAGTCGAGTCGAGACAGTTCAATGCTTGAGCTTGATTAGGCTCAGACATCAAACTATGCTTGATTGAACTGGACTTTCAGGTTTACCTCAATTCGAATAAGCTTTTCGCCAAGCTTGACTCGACTTGATTATTTAATAAGTGGAAGCTCCGATGGCACTAAGACCATGAACTCTAAGAGTACATTATAACTCAAAGAAGGAAAATTTCAGAAGCCATCTCCGCTTTTTTTTTCCAATGACAATTTGCATCGTGAGTTTTGAAAACGTACAATTTGCATCTTCAAACAGAATTCCCAAGTCCAAAAAAGACCAATCCACCCTCAAACTCATCCAAGCCCTAAACCATTTCCCCCCCCCCCCCCTCCTTTGCCACGGCCGTCATCGAGCATTACCAATGTCGAGCTCAACGAATATGGGTGTTAGCGTCGAGCTCCACGTATGTTGGTTGAGCTCGGTTGAAGCTCTGTCCACATTGAGTCGAGCTTCACTCTGATGGAGCTACACGAATTTGTCAAGTCGAGCCTAACTTAGATCCAGGTAGAGCTCAATGGGTCGTGGCTTAGAATCAGCGATGGCATTGCGGGTGTCGGTAGTGCCGAGAGCGGAGCGGTTGAGCAGCGAGTGAATTAGGATTTCGGGCAAGTGGGTTTTTCATTTGTGGATGGATTTGAATGGTGGGAAGGGCAAAATCCGAAAGGAAAATGACAAATTCATGCATAGAGCCACGACGCAAGATGCAACTTGGGATGCTGATTGTATACTTTCGATACTCAAGGTACAACTAGATATGCACACAAAAACGTGAGGATACTTTTTGATATCTTCCCCTTAAAATATGAACGACCCTACGTGTTTGTTTATACTACTTTTCTTATAATCAAATAATCAACTAAGTACAGAGATTCAACGACTGGCGGTGTCAGCAGAGGGCGAATGTGGACCACAAGTGATTCGGGGAACACGACAAGATTGCCTTTTTGGCCATTCGCACGCCACGAGCTTTGTCTGCGTGCGTGCGTGCATGGGGGTGGGAGCAAGTGAAAAAGCTCCCCACCACGCG